ATTTGAAGAAATGTTTCCTGAGTGCTTAATGATATTATATTTAGATCAAAATTATTGAAGTAGCACTCACTTATAGATCGTGAGATGATGAAATTAGTCTTATTCATAAGAAATTTGAAAAAATATTACACAAGTATTAACTGATATCCAATGTAGATAAATATAATTTGAGAAATATTCATCTATAGACAGGACATAAAGGAAATACTATATATTAGAAATTGCTAATTATAAAGATTATGAACCTTTTTTTTACTTTGTGTTTTAAATAACAATATAGCGTAAAAAAGAAACAATGGCTTCGAAAAAAGAGTAAATATATATCATCATTTACTTAGAAACCGACCTATTTAGGCTAGATTCTACCATTGTGATACTAGATGATCCTTGTAGGTGTAATCAAAATATCACCGATTATTTTACGATTTTGTTGATATCAGAAAAAGTGTTTGACCACATTAGCAAAAATTTACGTATTTTCTAGATGATAATAACCTATGCTATGAAGTATACATTATACATAATAACACATAAACTATACATAATAAGACTCTTTATAATAATTGGAATAATAAAGAGTTTTTTCATTTTTTCAAATAAACTAATAAATCTAGTCCATAATAACAGAACGAGTAAAAAAGGAACAGTAATTAGTATTACATAAAAGAACAGACTTCTTTTCAATAGGTTATTCTTGATTATTTAAAATCAAAAAAAATTGAAAGATATTTTAGTATGTCGAAATGATTAAATATGTTGATTTGATCGTATAAATAAATATAGTGGAATATTATTGTTGTAAATTATTTACACATGTTTAACAACATATTAAATATATTAAACCTAAATATCAAAATAAATTTTTTGAATATTTTTGTTGTGTGCCAATTAGCGTCAATATACATATCCAGCGTCATCAACTGAAAGGTCGAGGCCTTACATAGGTTACCACCCTCGCACACCACTAAGAAATTAACCAAAAATTGAAACGACCGAAAACCAATTTATATAAAAACTATTGAAGTTAACAAATTTTTGTGCAAATTTTTATTTTGTATTCCTATAGAAGATATTTACACATATTTAGATATATCCATATGAAATAGTTGGATACATAGACACCAACTTACCGACAATCTTACTTGTCGCACCTTAAAATAAAGTCTGAAGACTGGGCGTCATCATCATCATACATCAGCGTCAAAATCAGCGTGAAAAAACCAATTTTTTACAACCAAAAAATATTTCAAAAAATATATATAAAAAGATGTAAAAACAATAAAAAAAAAAATAATAATAATTAAAAAACAAAACGGAAAAAACCAAACTTTTTGAATTGTAAAAAACTCTTCCTGAGCTTTGGTTTTGAATCTTTTCAAACTGTGACTTATAGAAACCAACAACATTCAGCTACTCTTACACCAACTAAGAAAGAAGATACTCAAGTATGTGTAAGATTGTTTTTATTGTACTTCAGTGAAAAAGATACAAAAACTCAAACAGAAAACAGAAAACAGAAAACACTTGTAATACAAAGCAACGACAAATGCAAGATACTAAACCTAAGATAGACCCTCTTTAGTGGCAGAGTGCAGAGCAAATTTGTTTTTGTTTAAATCAAGTTGATTTCTGACTTGACTTTTTATGCAAATAATCCAGTATGAAAAGTAAAGAAAAAACTATAAATACGAGTATAAATATAAATATACAAAGATATATATAACAAATGTTGTTGTGTCGTCGCGTTGCTGTGCGCCATATTTTGCTTTCTTGAGTCTAGCGATTCGAACCGATACCACAGTCGTTATTAAGAAGTGATTGTGGCCTCACGCGCCTAATTCGTTCGCTCCAAACTTAACGCTCTGCAAAAGTTTTTAACTTTTAAATAAAAAAAAAATATTTAATCGAATATATATTTTTTTTGTTTTAATTAAATCGTTGGTGCTGTAAATTAATTTTTAACCAATTCATTAACAATTAAATTAGAAAATAAATTTAGACAAAATGAAATTTTTAAACATGTGAGTGAATATGAAAAATTTTATTATTTAAATATTAAATATTAAAAATTAAAAATGAAATAATAAATAAATATTTACAACACTATATAATCAATTGATTTAACAATTTGCAAACATTTTTTAAGTATTATTTTTTAATAAGCTGTAAACATTTAAAAAATGCCAGTTTTTATGATAATAGTTTTTTTTCGTTTATAAATGTTAAAATATTTACATGAAGGATTAAAAGAAAAGATATAGTATAACCTTAACTACGAACTGGAATTAAATCAAATAATGTGTAATCAGAATATTACTATCAGAAATCAAAAACTATTTTATTTACAATTACAATAAAAATACCACTTTGTTGTATTGAAGAAAATTAAAAATAAAATTAAAACTTTTAAAAATTTACTAAAATTATAAACTAATTTATAGCTGTAAAAATAAACCTTTTCATTTCTTATTTTCAAAATATTTTAAGCTCTATAAGCATATCACTAAATAATAATAAACGAAATGCACTAATAATAATTTTAAATGAAGTTAAATGATAAAAATAATATAATAATAAATAAAAAATTTTTATAATAAAATATAAATTTAATAAAAATAACAATTAAAAAATAATGATTAAATATAAAAAAATTACTTAATTAGAAAATTTATTTACTACTATTCTCCTTTTTATTCGAAATATATGTCTAGTTAAAGGACATAAATATCATAATTATAAAAAATAATAAAAACCATAACTGATTACTATCTAATAATAGTAATATTACTATTCTTAATTATTATTAATAGTAATAATTATTAGTAATATAAAATTATAAAAATTATAATTATAAAAATTAATAACAACAATAACTGATTATTATCTAATAATAGTAACATTACTATTATTAAATTTTATTAATAGTAATAATTATTAGTAATAAAAGTAATACTACTATTACTATAAAATAAACAACTATAAAAATAATTAATAATAATAATAACCAAAAAGTTATTAAAAAGTATTTAACATACTTAAAAAATTATATGATATTTATCAAATTATATTAGCAATAAAAATTTAGAAATAAATAAATAATTTAATTCGTTATTGGTTCATGCTATGGTTTAAAAATGATTATAAAAAAAATAATGATTTTAAAATAAAAATAAAAAAAATGAACATTAAATTAAAAATTAATAAAAAAATTATTAAAAATTACAATTAACCTGTATATAAATACAATATTTAATTAAAAATTTTTTTATGAAATTTTTTAAGTTTGTTTATATATGGACTAATTTAATAAAACACATATTTATATTTATATTAATAGTTTATTTTTAAATATCTTATTTCGAGGAATAATTCCTCAAAACCAATTTGTCCATATATTTTTTTTTTAAAACAATTTTAATAAAAAAATTGAAAAAATAACACAAATATTTTTTTAACCAATTATAAATGATTAATAAATAAATTAATAAAAACAGTAATTTACTAGATCAGGTTAGGCAAGTCTGTGGCAGATTGCACGTAAACCGCCTATGAAACTATTACATTACTTTTCGATCTTGTAATAAGATGTCACTCCTCTTAATTATTTTAGTTGTATTTTATATTAATTTGAAAAAGAATACGCTATACTAAAAATATTAAATTGTTTTAATGCAATTATAAATAATATTATAAAATATATTATATTAGAATTAATAAATAAAATTAAAATTTTTTATGAAAATGATTATTATAAAGCATATAATATGAATCATAGTCGAATTATAAATATAATTTTCTTACAAATCATTATTTATATCTTTCTTAATAAATACAAAAGATATAAAATATTATACATGTTGATCTGACTATTGAAATCAACAACCCTTAATTTAATTCAGATTTATATTTCACGAGATAAATTTGTAAAAAAATTTTTAATGCCTCAACAAACTTAATCCGATGTATGACTAGCCAATTTCTGTGGTACATGATTTTTGAATTATTATCTTTTGTTCATATTTGGATTTTTAAGTAATTATAAAAACTAATTAACTTATTACCATTATCTTTTATCTGCCTTTTGAATTGATATTGGATATTATTTTTCATTACTGCCGTTTCATCATTTTTACACGTTTCATTAGTCGTCCATACTGATGTGTAATGATCATTATATATACCATATAAGTGATTATTGACTATTGTTCTAAAGCCTTCGGGGGCGCAAGTTCTAAGTTAAGAGACCATGTTATAAACCATATAAGTACATATTCAATGTATATATGTAAATGTGAATAATAAAATTAATATGGTTCGATCCGTCAATTAAATTGAAAGGAATGGTAGACAATATTTATATTATCACATTATGATGTTATGATATTCTACCATATTTAGAAAAGCTTGTTTTGTTTATTTTCTGAACTATACAATTTTTAAAAGGACAATTAGGTGATACTTTGTCGCCTTGAACGATTGTTTGCGGTCGTTATTGGGCCATTTTTTCATTTTCATATGCAGTATAAACTAAGAATAACTGATAGAGTTATCTGCTTCATAATAAATAAACCTCAAACAATTGCATTATTTTTTTTTTTTTTCATAATAAATCATTCGATTTATTTGTTTTTAAATATGAATCTATGTGAATCTATATGTGACGTCTGTCACATTATTTCACTTGTTTTTATACGATACTAATAAAAGAATTGAAGATACTCCAATTAATAAATAAAGTATCTATTGAAGTGTTTCACTCAAAGCTTCTATATATTCTTCAAGAAGTTTTTTATACTTAAATCCACCTCAATTCTTCGTTTTAAAGCTGAGTCAATACTTGTTAATTTATGACAATTAACGCGGAAGCAATTTTTATCCTGTTCATAAAATATGTATTAAAATATTCATAAATACACTTTCATAATATTAAACCAAAACAAAAAAAAGTTAAATAAATTAAAATAAAGACTAAATAAATAAATATTTATTGAAATTGTTTTTAAATGAAATCAATTAATGTAGCAGTCACTGTACTAAGAAACACCGGTTGTACCGGTTGGTCTTGAACGTGTTAAAAAAATTGCTAGAATGTGTTTCACTAAGTCACTAATCACTATAAAATTGATTTATAAAATTAATTTATAAAAATTTTTGTATATATTGATTATTTTTTTCCATTTATTTTTTTGTTTTTGATTATTGTACGGTTTTAATAATTTAATTAAAGTTTAATTGTTTTTGTCTTATTTGGTTTTTGGGGTCAAATCGCTTTATTAGTTTCAATAATTCAAAAATTAATTTTGGTGGCTCTTCACACTTTCCATGGTTTCATTATTTTAGAAGGTTTCCAAAATCATTAAGTTCTTTTCAATTTTTAAGCACTATGGGCTTTAGTATACTGAAGCTAATTTAGAAAATATGTTAATATTAATGAGGCAGTGCAGATCGTATTAAAAAAAAATTTTAAAAATAATATGTTTAACAGTTTACTTGAAGACGTAATATGTGACCTTAATAAAAATTGGAAAATAATTTTATAATTATAATATTAACAAATTTTATACATTATAACATATATATTAATATGTGTTAAGACTATTCTGACCTACTTCTTCTAATACGGATATAAATAAAATTAAAACTTATGATTGTTTTTTCAAATCTTTTTTTTTGATACATTATTTATTTGTTTTTATTTATTATAAATAAACGAAATCCACTTTTGCTTTATTATTATACACGACGTTTCATTAGTTTCTCCCATAATCTTCAGGCATGTATAAGATTTATTGCTAATTATTGATATTATTAATTTTATTAATATGGGATTATAATAGTAGCGAAAGATTTATGGTACAGTATCTAAAACAATTCTGTTTTTTTTAACCAAAAAATAATAGCATCTTTAATCTATTCTTTTAACAGAACTATCCTTTTTTTCGTTTATCTATTTTATTCTGATGTGGCATATAACAAATGCATATTATTCATTTATTAATGGTTCATTAATTTTTTTTTGGAAGCACCTATTGACCCATCATATTTTCACAAAGTCTTTTACGTTTTTACTGTCTACAAAGAGTTGCTTCTAATCTTCCGACTGTGATGGTTTAATAAATCTTGACCTTATATTTAGTTCATCATCAAGAGAATATTAGACCAATAAGCAGTATATAGTTTTCATTATTTTATAGAGTATTAACAATTCGTTAATCTTTCGTAAGACTTAAAGATTCTCATAAAATACTCTTCAATATAGAAGTTTAGAAAATATTTTTAGGAAAAATATAAGAATTTTTTAATTGATATTAAAATAAATTTGTATCATGACATTATAACAAATTATTTCGTCAATGACTCTATAAAAGACAATTGCTAGTTAGGTTCAGTACTAAATAACCACCCATCCTGTTTCATAAAATAGATAGATTAGGATAGAGGTCAGAAGTGCCACATGGAAATCACAACGATTTCAAAATGCCCAGCTTTCGTTTTATAATTAAAATTAATATATAATGCATACAGCATACATTATCTCGATACCGGTACTATATTTATGTCTAATATATCTAATGAAAATAGCAGCTTTTTATTGAATACTCTTAGTTGCATCGTAAGTAAATTTATGAATATTTAAACACAATGTGTAAATTAAAATAATCAATACATTTATATTAAATATAAAATTTTTGTAAATTGTTATTAAAGGGGACAAAATTGTAGTTAAGAGTTAAGTTAAGTTAAATTGTAGTTAAATTTTTGTAAATTGTTATTAAAGGGGATAAAATTTTTAATTTGAGCAGTAACAATAGCTTGATTATTACAATAATCAAGCTATAATCAATAACAATAATCATCAAGGAGATAGAATTCTCTATACTGGGATTTCTTGCCTCAAAATTTTCTATAAGCTTAACAATAACCAGTAAAATGACAATTTCTTAAATAAGGTTTGTTTAACAAAACTATTTTTTTTGTTAGTATGTATTATGTAGGTGTCACAATGCATAACTTAGTTCCA